AGGACCCTCACTCTACCTACTTGGACGTGTTCTTTTCAACCGTTTGAAAAGGGGCCTGGATCGTTCATGACTTACTGCTGTCGAGTAGGCTTCTTACTCAAAAGTGAATTAAAGGTCCCTTTTCCTATTTCATCCGAGGACAAGGAAGTTTTAGGACGCGAGTGCTTTGCATGCGCGTGGAGCTATAAGTATCGCCAGAGTTGTGTGATCGAAATCCCTCCTGCGTTGCATCTATTTACAATGTTTAATGAATTAGATCGGTAAAGATAATTTGATTATTTACTTCGGGTCTAATTCACTCTTAATTTGTAACCAAGGTTGAAAAGAGGGGGGGGGGGAAATTATCGCATTTCATTCGGCTAGCGATGTAAAAAATCTTCATGTGCCCGTGGCTTGCGAGATTAACGCAGCTGCAAAAATCCCCCTCCCCTCCAGGGTGCAAGAAAGTTGCTCGATTCGGATCTTCCTTTTTGGTGATCTGCACGAAGGCACAATAGCACAGAAACAATTTGACATTACAATATTTGGGTGCACATGGCAGGAATGAGAGGGAGAACATATATACAGATTTTTCTGCTTTTACTTTGACTGGAGCATCCTCATCCTCCTGGAGGAGGTCATGAAACTGGATCATTAGTAATGTTTTTAACGGAAATATTGAAAGAAATGGAAACGGGATTTCTCCTCACAGGCAAGAGGATCTCTTGACCGTCTCACGTTGTTGCGTCTCTTTCAGGACCTAGGTACGAGATTAAAATGGCAGTTTTTTTGAGTCATCATTCTGAGGAAATCACCCAGAGCATGATGAATGATGCCTTGGATTCCCTAGATTTTTCATTTTTCCAGGCATGTAAAAATTGAAATCACCTCATCGTCTTAGACTCACCATGGAACTTGCCATGGGACTTATGAACGCAGAATATTGCGGTAAGGTCAGACCGTTTCCACGCGTTTCGGATCTAGAGTTTCGGAAGGGAAAACAAATAAGGCTGGAAGCTGAAGTAAAAAACTCAGGTTGCATTGTCTGTGATCGTGAACCCATTCAAGGGACAGGTTTTATCCCAAAAGTAGCTAGTATAATTTATATAAAATAACTATAGCCTAACCCAATTGTTACTTGGAAAGGATTCGAGGTGTTGTATTTGCTATCTGTAATGGCTTTCCCTTTTCTTGGTTCAGATATTATGCCTGAATTACAAAAATGCAATTATAATTAGTAGTTCCCATTAGTCAAAGACTGTGTTGTGACAACCAAAGTGTACCAAAACTAGCATGACGAGTTCGGCTCCGAAGTTCCACATAAGATTAGTCGTCGCCCAGGATAATTGGGACCGCAATAGTCATTATGCTTCCGAGATACCTAACGATAAGTTGACAACTGGAGCAGGGCAATCCGGTGCTTCTCAGTACGTCGGACCCGGTTGTGGAACATCAAGAAATATCTTTCGACTTGCCACTGGTCATTGTGTAGTTTCGGCACGCTGCTTTTAGAACAGAACAGGGAAAGAACAAAATGGTTCGGCTAGGGATCGCGAGTCCTGGATATTGCTTCTGATCTGCTGGTGCCGGACCCCATTAAGTTGGGAAAAGCAGATTCGAAAATTTATGTATGTATGCATTCAAAGCTGCCAGGAATCACGATTCCTGATGTTTCCTTTGCATATTTCCGGATATTTTGGGCAGATATGCTTCCAGGAATTGGTCAATCTCCACAGGATCTTTTTTTTGCTGTCAGACTTACGTGCAGAAAAACTTCATGAAAACTCCAGCCATTGAATTCAGGAAAAATCACAAATTACATGAGGCTGAGGTTTCCATTACGTAATCGACTTTTCTGATGAAACTCTTAGGTCTTGAGAGGCCTAGAGGGTAGACGAGGAATTCTTTACCCCTTTTAAAAAGTGAGTTTCAAGCCTTTCAGCCCGTTCTCTGCGAGTTCTTCAAAACAGATTTCCGAAAATCGAAGGCCCCTGAAAAAAAAATTGAGCCTTTATATGAAAGGTAGCATTCCGGATCATTCTGGCACGACGTTGCTATTGAAAAATATCCTGAGGTCGTCTTCCGAAAATGAGGAGGAGAGGGAAAATTTTGTACAAAAAATAATGTTGGGGTTCGAACCGCGACTTTGACATTGTTGCAGTTAGGAAGCGTAATTCAAGTATTAATTTATGTTTGTCCGGGGGCGCTCTATATTTATAAAATGGATAGATTAGGAAGTCTTCATCTTCTGAATGGATGGGTTACAACTTTCCATGATCTACTCCCAGTCCCCCTTCTCTTCCTCCTCCTTTGATGAGATCGCATGGAGAGGAGGTCATTGTGTAACCGATTACGGCTGGTATCGATCCTCGGTCTCACGCAGAGCAGGCAGATATTACTACTCATACCTTCTGGTTATCGACACTGATTGGGTCTGCTTTCAGAACTTTTTTGAGATTAAAAAGTGAAGGAGAGATGGGACGGATGATGTCACGTTATTGTTTCCGCTCATGGAAAACCGGAGAGATGAAATCTTTAAGAACGACAGACTGAAGGCGCATCACCCCTAATGTATCGGGCCTTCCCATACAAAACGTTCATCTATATTTCACAGCTCATTCACCTAATATTTACCTGAATGATTTTCTGGCAGTTTGAGAGGGGGGGGGAAAGGGATCAAAAGGGGGAAAAAGGGAAGGAAAGGAGGAAAGGGGGAGGGAAAGGGGGAAAAAGGAGGGAAAAATAGGAAAAAGAGGTAAATCCCCAATTTTCATCCGAAGTTTATGGGAAAGGACTCCTGGAGCAAGATCTGGAGAAGAGATGAAACTCGAAGATTAAATTCTGGGAAATGCAGAGGAAATTTCCTCCTAGCACCTTCGCGCTTATCTTTGTTACCCTTGTGAGACACGTTGGAACACACTACTTGACTGTGAAGGGGCAAAAGAAGAGTAAATAAGACGGTAGCGGTAAAATTGGGACAGCAAAACTGAAGTAAAAAACAGGAAAACTCTACCTCTCCCCCTTTTTAATTTTTTTTTTATCATTACAATTTTTTTTAACTTCAGTTTCACTGTAATAATCTTACCTTAGGAAAAAAATTGTTTGCAAGGGTTCCCTGTTCTGTTCTCTTGTAATTCCTTCCAAATCCTTCCCAACAAGGACTTTCTCTGATTTCCTTCTCCTTCCATGGCCGAAATCCAAGGAAACTAAGCTAGATGAGCTTGAAGAAAACATTCTAGCTCAAACTCCTCGAAAAATAAGGAAAAATTGCACTGTAAAAGTGAATGTGAATTATAATGTACGTGTTTCATTCATGAATTTAAAACATAACAAGAATTAAGCAAGAAAGTCATGGAAAACGCCACTTCTCATCAATACAAGAGGATTAGCTCTGTCACGTTGCAAGGGAAAGTTAAAACTGGAATCTTGATGGAAAACTGGGAAGACGTTGCCAGGTCACACTAAGCAATCGGGAAAAACCAAAATAAATCGTTTAAAACAGGAAATAGATTGATTCGAGATGGATCTATTCCAGATGCCCTGTTCAGATAAGTATTTCTTGTCTTTGACACGCTACAGATAGAATTTGAAGATACCGGGATTTGAGAAGGAAAACTTCAAGGTATGCCCCGTCGTGTCCTTGTAGTTTTCATCGGAGAGGGTTGTGGACTGATAAAATGTTGTCCATCAGAAAATCAAAGGACCGTTCCTGCGTGCTGTGCGAGAGACGCTGCAGGAGCGATACACTCCAAACATCGAGGCCATCTACAGGGTCACCATAGATTTCCTCATCGAGACCCTATTCGACGGATACGAGAATGGCCTCAAACGTCAATAGGATTATTTCATTTTCTCAGGCTGTTTTGGTGGGGCTTTTGATGGACCTTCTCTATTAGTCCGCTCAATGGAATGACTGAATACATACGGCTTCTACTGGAACTGGGGTAATTGCCATTCACACTTCATGGAAGGCAAAGAATATTAATCAGAGATTGAGATGAGGTCCCTCCAAGCCTCATTCCTCTAGAGGGGGAATGATGTTCAGTCGGAAGAATGGAGTCAGGGAGACCGCTGGCGAAGCAGGCGAGCAACCACGTTGCCGCTAATCCACTGAGTTCCGCTCTGATGCAGAATTTCTCTTTCACTGTATTTACTACGACTTTATCAATGAAGATTCTCTAACGAAGGTCTCACTTGCCTACATGCTTTGGATGCCAAATTTCGTCCTACACTTTTTCATAATTAAGGAAAATCTTTGGAACAGCAAACTTCAATAATGATTTTGGGATAACCAATGCGTAATTACAAAACCGAAATTTTATTCACTTTTATAATCCTAGGTATAGCATTCTGCCTGAAATTAAAGCTAAATTAACTACTAAGCACTTCAGAAAAATTTTGGCTCATGTTCATCCACATTTCATATGAAAGGCTGAAATGGACCTTCCTGCCTTTTATTAGAGCGGAATTTGTAAACTCTTTGTCTCATCCTTCACCATAAGTTGCGACAAGATGGGTTCCAACTACTTTTGCCGTTTTAAAAGAGAGTATATATGCCTATTATATTACAAGATACTTTGTGGACATAATAAAGATCCTTAAAAAAGTTTATGTTACACCCCGTCGGGTTTATAATTCATTTATTTTATCATATGCATCATATTACCTCCAAGTTGAAATATGAAATACCATAACTAAAGGTTCCTCTTTGGTCCATGATAGTGGACGTATATCAACGACGACACACTCGGGCATCCACTTAAAATAGACCAGATGAAGTATGAACATTACTGATTTCAATATCACATGTACCTACCACTTAACCACAGATGCTGCTAGCTTCTCTTCAATGAACCGTGCCATTTTCAAGTATCTGATTTGAAAGAAAGTTCTCGGAATTTCTTGAATATCCAGTACAATTTTTTTCCAGAGCATGCTAGAATGTTCTGCGTGTGTTTATAAGTAGGTCGTGTCCTTCGGCATACAACCGTATATTATTACAGCCCTGGTGCTCTCCGGCCATGAACCAGCCCTACCCTCTTACTAAGGAGCAAGTTCGCCTGCTTCTTCTTTATGATTTCCGAATGGAGAAGAAGGCAGCCAATTCCATCGCCGACATCAATACCGCGTTTGGCCCGGACACTGTGTCCAAGAGCACTGCCTATGATTGGTACAGTCGCTTCCAGAAAGGAAATGAAAGCCTGGAAGACCAGCCACGCACCGGTCGTCCTTCGGAGTTTGATAACTCTGCCTTGCAGGAGGCACTGGAGGCCAACAACCGGCAAACATCGCGAGAGCTTGCGGACTTGCTGGGTGTCTCCCATACAACTATCCTTCATCATCTGGCTGAGCTTGGCAAGAAGGCAAAGTTGGGGTGCTGGGTACCCCACAAGCTGGATGATCGGGACCGCCAGCGACGAGTAGACATGGCCATCTCCCTTCTGTCACGTTCGCGCCGAACGGATTGGCTAGACTCAGTGGTGACAGGCGACGAAAAGTGGACCTTCTATGCCAACATTCGACGAAAACGTCAGTGGGTGGACGCCGGAGCATCGGCCGAAAGAGAACCCCGTCAGGAGTTGCACCCCAAAAAGATTATGCTCTCGGTCTTCTGGGATTCGAAAGGCATCATCATGTTTGAGCTGTTGCCGCAAAACACCACCATCACTGCTGCCTACTACTGCCAGCAACTCGATCGGCTGCAGCAGAAACTGGCTGAAACACGCCCAGAAAGACAGAGAACCATCCTCCTCCACGACGATGCCCGGCCGCACACCGCTAGACAGACTCATCTAAAGTTACTGGACCTGTGCTGGGAGGTGCTGCCGCATCCGCCCTACAGCCCCGACCTTGCCCCGTCCGATTATCACCTTTTCGTTGCCCTGGACCGTCACACGGGTGGAAAGCAGTACGCCAACCGAGACGACCTGAAAACCGATTTGGCCAACTTTTTCGTCGCGCAGCCGCCAGAGTTCTATTGGAATGGCATCCATAGTTTGCATAAACGTTGGCGTGAAGTGATAGAGGCCAATGGTGATTACATTCATGAATGAGATGATTTTGCTTTTAAATAAACTGGGTTGTAATAATTGTTCATGAAATTCCGAGAACTTTCTTTCCAATCAGATAGAATACCTTGTAGATTTTGGTCATAAATGGCCATGGGAGGGGTGAAACCGAGAAAACTTCCTCTCCTCTCTTCCTGCGTTCATCATAACTGGTGGGTCCATCACCGAAGAAATGAGTCTGAGGATAGAAATCCTTTTTTCATTCGACGGGCGCATATTTTTAGGGGCCGACATTTTCAAGTCTTTTTTTTTTGCCCTGGCGTATTGAACTGGTGTGGAAGGATGAAATTTGGTACATAACTACCTATTGGGATGCTGTGTGCAGGAAAATTCAGACTTTGGAAGTAAATGCCCGGGGGGCACAAATTTCAAAGGGAAATGTTTTCAAATAATTTTGTTTGCATCAGTTAAACTGATGAACATTTAAAGCTGAAACTGCTAGGCAATTGTTTGCTTACGTCTCGAGTGTTCTCCAGATGCTGCCTCCCGTTTTTCGACATATCGACGTTTCGGCTTGTCTCATCGCACCGCACGCGATCCCATTCCCTTGGATGTCGCTCGGTGATACTTTACCCCTGCACAAAGATGTGTCAGTCCGTTCTTTTAGAGCCATCGGTCGTTCAACAAAGGAACTTCAAAGGACTACTTTTCATGGCCTTGCCTAGATCTTACTTGCCGAGATCCATGATTTGACGATCCATTTCTTGATTTTTAATAATTTTCTCCACAATTGTGACGCTAGGAACGACAGGAACAACGCCAACGGACGCGATCGGACGCGGCGCCGTTGGGCTCCGAGGAATGCTCCTTCGCAAGGCAAATCTTCCTATCTTAAAGAATAATCTTCAGAAGAAAATTAGGGAACATCACATAGTAAATCATTGTATTTAATCGTAGTTCTACCGACCTTTCTGGCAAAGTCGATCACGATGCAGCGACTCTGATTAGCAGGTGAATGCTCGGTAGTGAAATGTTATCTCAAAAACGGCAAGATCAATCGCAAAACCACGAGATCAACCCAGAGATTTTCATCGCAAGTCAATGCACCAAGTGCCCCTTCCTAAGGCGGGCGTGTTTTCATGCAAATGAAGCTAAACCCTTGCGCCATAGAGTCCCATCATAACGGTCTGATTATATACTTTAAAACCAGGTGGCGAACGCATCCCAAGCGATCTAGGAAGCCAGGATGGTTTCGGCGAGAGACTCCTTGGATGCGAAAAGCAGGGGGTTCGCATCCCCCCTAGAGGGGGGGGATCCACGTCTACACGGGAGGAAGGGGAAGGAGGAACACGAAGAAATCAGCCGAAGATCTTTTTCTTCCACGGTGTGAAAATGACGAATTCATTCGAATAAGGCTTTTGTATTCAAGTCCAGGTAAACGGCTGAGTGTGCTCCGCGGCATAAATCGAGAGTGAGAACTCTCTAGTGCGTCATGTACAGTTTGATCAAGAATGCTCCTGCGACATCTTGTCAAAGACACACCTCGAGCAGCAGCATAGTGTCAATGAGAGCCAATTGAGAACCTAAGCCATCTCTTCACCTCCGATTCGAATAGAGAGAAGTTAATTCAATCGGACGGGTGTCGGGGAATTAATCGTCGGTGAGCCATACAGTTTTCCATTATGTTTTTTTTTCCTGCTTCAATCATGGCACTTATTTCATCTAGAAAGTTTCCATGGGTTTCTATAGTAAGAACACCATCCATCGTCTTCGAACGCATTGAAGTCCATACGTGAGAGAAATCGCAGGAATTAGAGCCAGGTTTCCTCCTCGTTGAGACCCGGTCCGTTCTCGTCCATGGGGAAATACCTCGTAGGAGAAAGCCGAACTGCAAACAAATGTCAGCGTGGAAATTGAAGCGGAAACCCTCCTATCAGGGATTCAATAACTTCATGGTTTGTTCATTGGTTCATGTTGGCCGTTGTACTGAAAGAGACGCCAAATTCTCTTTCCTGTAGATGGGTGGATATCTTACTATTGATAGACCCTGTTCGCATCCAAACAAAAATGTCCTGAGCACGTGAAGAAGTTTCCCCCGTGTCCCTGTCCATCCTATGAGCCATCTGAAGCAATATTCATCTCTTTCTTAGAGGATCTTCTTTTATGCGTGCGAGACCGAAAACTCGCTCTGACGTCATAGACAGGTCAGAGAGGTCATCCTGAATAAAGCCAGACCTTAGCGAGGAAATGGTGGAGGTACAGAAAGTATCCTTCCTGGGGAGAAGCTTACGTCACGAAGAGGAGGTAGGTGGTCGAGGAGGAGGTAGATTGGTCGTTGGCAGGGAATAAATGAAGTCAAAGGGGAAAATCGGAGTTGCAATTGTTCAGAGGAAGAGTTGAAGAAAGGGGTCATGAGGCTGTTGCATCATGGCCATGAGTGCGTTGGGATCCCTGAAATGATGGATTCCCGAAAATTATTTTCTCTCCCACCTTCGCCAACATTGCATTCCTTGAACATGAAAGCAGGCTCTTGGTCCTCCGTTTTTATTTTCATTTTTCATCATTGATCACCATTGATCACCAGAGATCACTCTTTGCAGAGGGAAGATGGAAAATCCATCTTCCCTTAGCCCAAAAAAAATCCCTAAAAAAATGGAGATGAGGTTTATTGGCTTGTCACTACTAAAAAAAAAAAAACTCGGAAGTGGACATCCCAAGTAACACAAGATATTCCAGCAACGTTTAGGAAATGTTGATGTTGAATGTTGCATCTATGTGTAAATGTCCAAAATGACAACGATGTCAAGAGTGTCAACATTCTCTCAATGTTGATAGTTAATGTTGCAATGACATTCGTAGAAATGTCGTAGCAACATTCCAAGTGGAAACATTGAAGCAATGTTATATCAATGTTGTAGATCAACTTGCAACATAGAGCAACATAGTCAACATTTCGGAAACGTTACATCAACATACTGTGTTACTTGGGATATAATGCTTCGAGACGGCATGGCCACACCGATATCTCCAGGCGATCGAATGCAGAACGCGGAAAGTGAAGGGAATTGAAACAAAAGGAGATCCTCTAGTCTCTGAGCAAATCCCCTCAATCAGATATGACACCTGTTGGAGGTTCATGGATAACGGAAAAATCCTTTCCATCGTAGTGAACCCCGAGGGGAAAGAGGGGCGGAGAGACACTATGCGACATCTATTAATACATCAATTTTCAGGAAGCGTTGGACTCCCTCTTAAAGGAATCAATAAATTTTATATTAGGAATTATTTATTTATTTAATTCTCGCTGGATCCCAGCGAATAAGAAGGTACTACCAGGCTCAGGTACTACCAGGAGTTCCAAACTGGATCGGTCGTCGCCCAGGAAGATCAGGACCGCGATAGTCATTGTGTTCCCGAGTGACCGTCGATAATGCTTACGGGGCGGGACGAATTTGCGTTTTTTTTTAACGGCCGCGGGATTTTTTTTTTTTACGTACTTCGTAGATTTTTTCTCCTGAAGATTTTTTCTAATTCCTTTTAGTCCTTTATCGAATAGACCTTCGTCTTTCGCATAAATTTTCCTATCTGTGGGGGTGAAGGGGAAATTCCTCTAAGTCTCCGCCCTCGAGGCTATCTGACGCATATTCGCGTCTCCCGCACCGTAAACATGGCAATCTGATGTTTCCCAGTGCGTCGAACCCCGTCGCAACTGCAACCACACTCATCGGTCGGCCTGCCACCGGTTGTAGCGTTTTCGGCGCGATACCCCGAGGGCAGACCAGTAGCAGAACGAAGGATATCCTTTCCCTTTAAATTGTATCAACTCCGTTACGACTTACGTTACTTAAGACTTATGTTTGATAATGAAAACATACTTGGTGACCGCAATTTGGTGGCTCAAAAAATTTGGCGACAAGTTCATTATATTTAGGAGGATAAATGAATGTAAATTTACATTTATTTTCTCAGCATGGAATGGTGAGTAATTAGCCATTGGAAGATGAACTGTACTCAATATTTTGTTCATAAAAACACTGGGATGGAAAGACCTTGGCAAAGCAAATCATCTTCCGACAAAACATTGAAAACACGGCGGCGGTCCGATTGTCGATCACCATGTCGAATTCCTGAACGTCGAATGAATGGAACGGTGAAAGTCGAAATGTCGAATTAACGAATCGTCGAAATGAATTTATGTACCATTGCTCGCAAGTGATCGCTCACTTCGCGATCGAACTACGAAGAGGCAATTTGACGGACGCGATTACTTCCTATAGAACAAGGGTGACACATAGTGAGTGGGATCCTGCAGCATTTCGAAAAAACCATTGGAAATGAAATCACTCTCGATCCTTCCTCATCGGAGACGATCGCGAAATATGGCGTGCAGGGCCGAATTTTCACGTTCGCATGAGTATCGTCCACTTTCGGAGATTCCTACATCAGTTTGTCGTTAAGAGCCGCAACGGCACGTTCATTGCAACTTCCGTTTTGGCACCTTTTCTCCTTCGTACGCTTTTCACACGTGAAGTACCCATGAACAACCAATGATCTACCTTTCTGGGAATGCTATGATGGTTTTGGTTACGACCCCAATTCGACGAGACAGTCTTCTCTGCCTCAAAGGTTGACAAGAAATCTGCTCTGCCATGAGACCCGTGAGACTCCCGAATTCGACGAAATCGCAGAGCAGAGTTCCGAGCAACGAAGGGGAAATAAATGCACTCGAGAGGTTCGGGTGTTTTTCGAATGCTAGAAGCTTGCAACAAAATTCCCAGAATCAGTGCCGAGCTTTGAAAGCCTACTTGTAATATTAATAAGTTTTCATCGAAGTGACGGAATGGGCAGGAAACTCGGGGTGAAACTTAATGAGAGTCTTACAAAATGCTTACGAATAATTACTTTTCGTAGAAAATCTCGGATCGACGTGGCCAGCTTAGGATCCAGGAAGGTCAATGAAAAGGCAAGTCTCGTCCTTGGCATCATCCCGCGAGCTTTTTCCACGAAAACCTTCGACTCCCACTGAGAAGCATCCAATCGCATGGGATCGAGTCTCCCATCGGAGGTCGAGGGGAAAATGGCCTCGGCCTCGCACGATACATGAGCTCGACCAACGCACGTGTTCTTGCCACGGATGAATAGCGGGGTGAGGATGCAAGGGTCGGTGGGTGGGTTCTCAGATACTTCACCTCCCTCCTCCTCCCCCTTCTTCCCCCATCCTCTCCCCTCCTCCTCCCTCCCCCTCCTCCCCCCTCCCCGGCGATTTCTTGCATGGCAGAAGAACGAAGGAATGTTGCGCTTTCCGACGTTTGCTTAAACCGCTCTGCTAACATGCGTACATTATTCCTGCTCATCTTTCGGATGCTTCATCCGACAGGTTCGCACAGGTACAAAAATAGCGCGTGATGAGAACCGTCAATTTCGCGAAGTCGGGACGTCTCATGACCAGTTTTCCTGGCCACGCAATGAATTTTAAACTAATGCGGATGTAAACTTCGATGCTAGTTTCACATATATGAATACTGTGATGAAACCACTCCTCATTCCTATCCTTCCCTCATCGGTCTGCGGAATGTATTAATAATTGCACTGGAACGTTCATAATTTTCATGACTTCCTCCAGGATGAAGAGGATGCTCGCGTAAAACAATCAGGGAAATTCCAGACATCAAGTGGTAACACCAAGTGGTGACGCCAAGCGGACTCCCTGTTGAACATCAGAAGTATGGCTGTCTGTTGATGCCAGGAGTACAGCCTGTACCGCATTTACGTCCAGTAGGTCGGACCCTTCGCGGGCGCGTTACGGGGAGGGACGAAAAACTGCCGTTCGAGACGATGCCGAAGCGAATGAGAGGCATGAAAGAAATTCAGCGAAGAAATAGAACACGATCACCACATTGCTAAAAGGGTGTTCTGGCAAACGTTTCGAAGGTAAGACAGGCAAATATACTCTCCAGGTCTCGAAAGACCGAAACGGGAGGATCTCGACTCCCCACTGCTTTTGTGGGTCTTGAAAGGCATACGACCATGTACTTCGAGGGAAACTGTGGGGGGAGCTACGGTAGTATGGGATTAACAGTCAGCCGCTGCGAGCCATTCAATCCTTGATGCATGGTAAGCATCCCAATTACCCTCATCCAGGACCGGATTAACTCATAAGCTAATGAGGCTATAGACTTAGGCCTTCATATTTTTAGGCCCTTCATTCAATTTTTTTTGTTGCAATACGTAATTCATACTTTAGGCCCTTCCCTCCCATTAGCCTTAGGTCCCTAATAACCTTAATCCGCTCCTGCCTCCATGGATCAAACAGCCTAACAATTTGTTGAAATTGTTGAGCTTGTATACTGTTTTTCATCAAGATCGCTCAAATCCTTCTTGATTGTCCTTTTTTTTGGCGATGAATATATTTGGACATTTCCTCATCGATAGGAAGAGTGAATGTTTTCCAACTAGACATGTATGCATGGCGACAGTTCCTATTCGTATAACAACATAGTCCCATATCAGTGGAGTTTCCCATTGGTTCCAAGCTCTCGAGAGACAGAAAGACACAATGGAAACGAATAGTGAAATCTCTCAATCTCATACCGACCAAGTCAATTCGATATTACTCAATTGGCTGTCTCATCCCAGAAGTACGAGCACTACCTGTTTTTTTTTTCAATTCTTATATTCGATTCCCTCGCTTATGTGGAAGAAGTGTCAATTTTTTTCTATGATGCAGTTGAGTGGTTTCAGGAGATAGCGGAAAGAGAAACCTGCTCCACATTATGAGCGTGATGAAACCCCGGTTTGCAGAAGACCGAAATGAGTTATAAATAGGGATATAAATAGAGACGAAACCAGATCCCGAACGAGAAGGGGCTCATGAAATACTAAACAACGCGGGAACGGTGTTCGCGATCTCCTGTCCTTTGCCTAGCCGCTGAGAAGCGGAACGAACCCATCCCCTCGCTCTGGACCGGGACCTGGGCGCAGGTCCTGGTCTGGAGTTAGACCTTCGTCAAGCGAGTGCCTCTGCCATTCTGCCTCCAGGATCCACGACATGTTTTCAAAAATGAAGATCAAGCTTCCACTCTGCATCCTCCGGAAGAATCCAAAGGAAAAACAGTTAAAGAAGGCCTTTCCACTGCCGCCTCCATCCCCTGCCCCCGCTCTCCTCGATCCTCGATTACCCCTCACCTTGAGACAAAGAATTTCCATCATGGAATCGTGGAAAGGCATTTCGTGTGATATGACGCCCATCGGGATCTCCATGTTAGTCAAGTGAGTCCCAGCGATGCTCCTTAGGTTATGTTCCGAGAGGGCAGACTTTCAGGACCTTCACAGTACCTACTTGGACGTGTTCTTTTCAACCGTTGAAAAGGGGCCTGGAACGTGTATGACTTATTTCTGTCAAGTAGGCTACTAACTCAAAAGTTAATAAACGGCCCCTTTTCCTTTTTCATCGGAAGAGATGAGAATGAAAGGTGGCGCCTAGGGGTATCACAAGGCTCTGCACTGGAGGGAAGTTTTAAGACAGGAGTGCTTTGGGCGCGCGGGGGAGCTATACTTATAGCTCCCCGCGATACTTGTGCAATCGAAATCCCTCCTGCATTGCATCTATTTACAATGTCTAATGAATTAGCTCGGTAAAGATAATTTTATTATTTACGTCAGTCTAATTCATTCCTAATTTGTAGCCAAGGTTGAGAAGAGTTAGGAAATTATAGTATTTCATGCGACTAGCGATTTAAAAAATCTTTATGTGCGAGATTAACGCTGCTGCAAAATCCCCTCCCTCCACCCAGGGTGGGAGAAAGTTGCTCGATTCGGATCTTTTTCACTTGAGTTAGACAATTTTTCACTTGACTGGGACACCTGCATTCATGCATGAGTGTTTCAGTCAAGTGATAAATTGTCTAACTCAAGTGGAAACACTATAAGAGATGCTTCCAGAAAAATTTCCCGGTTTCACGGGATATGTGATTCATGATGTCTTGGATTTTTATTTATTTATTGACTGGAGTATCCTCATACTCCTGGGGGAAGTCATGAAATGTTATGAAGTTATATATTTTTTTACGGAAATCTTGAAGGAAATGCAAGCGCGATTTCTCCTCACAGGCCGGAGGATCACTTGACAGACTCACGTCGTTGCGTCTCTATTAGGAGATTAAGATTAAGGCTGGATTTTGGAAAAGAGAACTATCCGATAATGCTGCTTTATTCCAGGGAAAATACATATTTCCTGGAAATAAAGTGGTATCATCGGATACTTCTCGGTTCAAAAATCCACCCTAAAATCACAGTTTTTTAGTCATCCTTCTGAGGAAATCACCCAGAGCATAGCGAATGAAGCCTTGGATTTTCTTAATTTTTCATTTTTCCAGGCATGTAAAAATTGAAATCGCCTCATCGCCTTAGACTCGCCATGGAACTTATGGATGCAGAATATTGCAGTAAGGTCAGACCGTTTCCGCGCGTCTCATTGCTTAACAGGGGCAAGATTGCATGCTATCGCGCCCAGCTTTATTCCACAATGCCGTGTATCCCTTCAAACATCCTCATAACCCTCACAGTGGCAACTCCAGTTTTGGAAAGGAAAACTAAAAATAAGGGCGGAAAGCCGAAATTAATTACTCATTTTACAATGTCTGTAATCGTGAACCCGTTCTAGGGGTTGGTTTTATCCCAAAAGCAAATATAGTTGAATAATCTATAGTCTAACCTAATTGCTACGTGGAAAGGATTGGAGGTGTTGTATTTGCTATTTGTATTAGATTTCCCTTTTGAAGGTTCAGATGTTGTGCTTGAATTTCAAAAATGCAATAATAATTAATATTTGTCATGAGTCGAAGACCGTGTTGAGGGTAATCGAAGCGTACTAAATATAACATGACGAGTTCGGCTCAGGAGTTTCATACTAGATCGGTCGTCACCGAGGATAATCGGGACCGCATTGATCATTATGCTTCCGGGATGCCTAACGATAAGTTGACAACCGGGCATGGTAATCCAATGCTTGTCAGCACGTCGGACATGGTTGTGGTGCATCTGGAACTACCGGTCGGCTTGCCACTGATCATTGCGTAGTTTCGGCACGATGCTTTAAGGACAGACTGGGGAAAGAAGAAAATGATTCTGCTTGGGATCGCGAGTCCTGGATATTGCTTCTGATCTGCTGGTGCCGGACCCCATTAAGATGGGAAAAGCAGATTCGAAAATGTATGCACATATACATTCAAAGCTGTCAGGAGTTACGATACCTGATATTTCCTTAACATCGAATGTTTTGAGCGGATAAGCTTCCTGGAATACACCAATCTTCACGAGGTCATATTGAGCAGATATGCTTCCAGGAATAGGTTAATCTTCCCAGGATTTTTTTTTTTGCTGTCAGACTTACATGCAGAGAACTTCATGTAAACCATAGCCATTGAATTCAGGAAATATCACAAATTACATTAAGCTGAGGCTTCCATAACCTAAATGGCTTTTCTTATGAAACTCTTAGGTCTTGAAAAACCTAGAGGATAGACTAATAATATTTGCCCCTTTTAACAAATGAGTTTCGAGGCCCTTTCAGCCTGTTTTCCGCGAGATCTTCGAAACAGATTTCCGAGAATCAAAGGTCCTTTTAAAAAAAATCGAGCCATTAGATAAATGGTAGCATTGGGGATACATTATGGCATGACTTTGCCACTGAAAAATATCCTGAGATCGTCTTCCGAAAGTGAGGAGGAGAGGGAAAATTTTGTACAAAAAATAATGTTGGGGTTCGAACCGCGACTTTGACATTTTTGCAGTTAGGAAGCATATTTCAAGTATTAATAGATGTTTGTCCGGGGGCGCTCTATATTTATCAAATGGATAGATTAGGAAGTCTTCATCTTCTGCATGGACGGGTTACAACTTTCCATGGTCTATCCCCAGTCCCCCTTCACTTCCCCCTCCTTTGATGAGATCGCATGGTGAGGTCATTGTATAACCTATTACGGTTGGGATCGATCCTCGGTCTCACGCATAGCAGGCATACATTACTACTTGTACCTTCTGATTATTGACACTGATCGGGTCTGTTTTCGAAATTTTTTGTGATGAGAGATGGGACGGAAGATGTCACATTATCGTTTCCGCTTATGGAACACTGGAGAGATGAAATCTTTAAGAACGACAGAATGAAGGCGCATCTCCTCTAATTTATCATGCCTTCCCATACAAAACGTTCATCTATATTTCACAGCTCATTCACCAAATATTTGCCTGAAAGATCTTCTCACAGTTTGAGAGGGGGGAACGAAAGGGGTGAAAAAGGTAGGAAAAGGGAGAAAAAGGGGGGGGGGGGAAATAAGAAAATGAGGTGAATCCCCAATTTCACCCAAAGCTTATGGGAAAGGACTCCTCTAGTAAGATCTGGAGAAGAGATGAGACTCGAAGAATAAATTCTGGTGAACCCAGAGGAAATTGCGACGTAGCACCTTCGCGCTTATCTTTGTTACCCTTGTGAGACAAGTTGGAACGCACTACATGACTGTGAAGCGGCAAAGGAGCGGTAAATAAGTGGTTAGCGGTAAAATTGGAATGGCGAAACTGACGTAAAAAACTGGGAAACTCTCCCCCCGCCTTTTTTAATATCATTTATTACTATTTTTTTTTTACTTCATTTCACTGTCCTAATCTTACTTCAGGTAAAAAATTGTTTGCAAAGGTTCCCTGTTCTGTTCTCATGTAACTCTTTCCAAATCCTTCTCAACAAGGACTTTCCTCGATTTCCTTCTCCATCGATGGCCGGAATCCAAGGAAACTAAATGAGCTTGACGAAGACATTCGTGGTCAAAACAAACTCTTCAAAATACTAAGGAAAAATTTGCTCCGTAAAAGTGAAAGTGAACTAAAATGTGCGTGTTTCATTTACGAATTTAAAACATAACAAGAATTAAGTAAGAATGTCATGGAAGACGCCACTTCACATCATCATTGCTAGAGGCTTAGCAATGTCATGTTCCAAAAGGAAAATTAAAACTGGAATCTTAATGGAAAATAGGGCAGAAGCTGCCAGGTCACAGTAGGCAATCGGGAGAAGCCAAAATGAAGCAACGGTCGCTTCAAACAGGGAATATATCGATTAGAGATGGATCGATTCCGCATGGCCTCTTCAGATAAGTGTTTCCTGTCCTTGAAGCGCTAAGGATGGAATTTGGCGAGGAGATTTATTCATAGGATTGCAAATATGTTGGGTCGACCGGAAAGTTCTGGCCGTTTCGAGAAAATTCCAAGCATCCGAGTTTTTTTTTAATAAAGCAAAAAAATTAATTCAACGAAGTAATCGCCATCACAGTCAATCACTTTTTGCCAACGATCAGGCAGACTCCTGATTCCATCCCTGTAGAACTGAGCTGGCTGTGAGTCGAATAAATCAGTCAGCCGGTTTTCGACCTCGGCGTCATCGTTGAACCTTTTCTGGCGAAGATGGTCGTCCAGAGCGCGGAAGCGATGGTAGTAGGTTGGCGCCAGATCTGGGTTATACGGAGGGTGAGACAAAACCTCCCAGCCCAAATCCAGCAGTTTCTGCCGTGTGATCTTCGGGTCATGCAGCCTTGCGTTGTCGTGCAGGAATCGAACAAGACGGTGCCCTGGCCTCACCGTGCGGAGTTTGTCGGGGAGCTTCTGCAGCCGATCGCAGTAGTAAGCGGCGGTGATGCTAGTATCGGGTGGGAGCAGCTCAAAGTCGATCACGCCTTGCACGTCCCACCAAATGCACAATATGACTTTTCGGAGGTGCAGGTCACCTTTCGGCTCTGGCTCTGGCTGGGCATCGGCATCGACACACTGGCGCCTGCGTCGGTAGTTGACGTACGGCATCGTCTTTTCGTCTCCAGTGACTACGGAATCCAGCCAGTATGCGCTCGTACGACAACAGTGAAGTGCAGATCTCACGGCCTTCGCAGTCACGGTCGGTCAGATCGTGGGGTACCTACTGACCCAACTTCCTCTTCTTGCCGATTGCAACCAGGTGCACCACGATCGTGGACTGGGCGCAGCGAGGTGATGTCGCTACGTCGCGGGTACTTTCCCTGGGATCGGCTTCCACTGCGTGCTCCAACTGCTCGTCGTCGATTTCAGATGGGCGGACTGACCTGGGCTCATCCTCGATGCTGTAATTTCCAGACCGGAAACGATCGAACCATCGTCGCGCTGTCTTTTCGCAAACTGCACCTTGGCCAAACGCGGCGCAGATGCGGCGACTCGTTTCGACTGCTGTGATGCCAGATAGGAAGTCGTAAAGAAGGCACTGACGTTGGGCGGTCTTGTTAAAGTCAGGGTTATAGGCTTTGAACGCCTAAGCAACTAATGCATAAACACGGCCACACACCCTTTATATACTGCTACTGTAGAAGGTTCGAGAAAGTTCCAGAAGTATTTTTTCCTGGAAAATTCACGAAACGGCCAGAACTTTCCGATCGATCCAATACTAGCAGTAGAATGGTCTTTCAACTACGTCGCATTCATTCCCTCAACTCCGTTCGATGGCTGCGATATGTCTGCAGGCTCTTCGAAGACCATTGTGACCTCCTGAACCTGTTTGAGAAATTCCAAGGATTGGAAGTCCAAGACGGGCAAGCGGAGAGGATGGAACTGAAAGACCACGCCAGAAATGGCTGCGATATGTCTGCAGGCTCTTCGAAAACCATTGTGACCTCCTGAACCTGTTTGAGAAATTCCAAGGATTGGAAGTCCAAGACGGGCAAGCGGAGAGGATGGAACTGAAAGACCACGCCAGAAATGCCATCGCCACTCTGGACAACGGGATCAAGTCCTTAGACAACCTGGACGTGTACTTCAAGTACCTTCACGCCGTCGGGGAGACTCACACTAAGATACCGGGATTTGAGAAGGAAAACTTCAAGGTATGCCCCGTCGTGTCCTTGTAGTTTTCATCGGAGAGGGTTGTGGACTGATAAAATGTTGTCCATCAGAAAATCAAAGGACCGTTCCTGCGTGCAAGATACCGGGATTTGAGAAGGAAAACTTCAAGGTATGCCCCGTCGTGTCCTTGTAGTTTTCATCGGAGAGGGTTGTGGACTGATGAAATGTTGTCCATCAGAAAATCAAAGGACCGTTCCTGCGTGCGGTGCGAGAGACGCTGCAGGAGCGATACACTCCGAACATCGAATCCATCTACAGGGTCGCCATAGATTTCCTCATTCAGACTCTCATCGACGGATACGAGAATGCCCTCAAACGTCAATAAGATGATTTCATTTTCTCAGGGTGTTTTGCTGAGGCCTTTTGATGGACCTTCTCTATTAGTCCTCACGATGGAATGACTGAATACATATGGCTTCTACTGAAACTAGTGTAATTGCCATTCACACTTCGTGGAAGGCAAAGAATATGTCAGAGAATGATATGCGGTCCCTCTAAGCCTCATTCCTCTAGAGGGGGAATGATGTTCAGTCGGAAGAATGGAGTCAGGGAGACCGCTGGCGAAGCAGGCGAGCATCCACGTTGCCGCTAATCCACTGAATTCCGCTCTGATGCAGAATTTCGCTTTCACTGTATAGTGAATTTATATATATAGTTTCACTGTATACTGTATTTCACTCTCACTTTGGAACAGCAACCTCCAATCATAAGTTAGAGATAACCAATGCGAGATTACAAAACTGAAACTCTTTTTCCCTTTTACAATCCAAGGCGTACAATTCTGCCTGATATCAACACTAAATTAACCATTATCCACTTCAGAGATTTTTGGCTCATATTTCACATTTTCATACGAAAGCTGAAGTGGACCTTCCTGCCTTTCATCATAACAGAATTTGTAAATCCCTTTTTGCTTAGTTTCTTTCTTCATCATAAGTTACGACAAGATAAGTTGCTACTACTCTCGCCGTTTTGAATGAGTATATATGCTTCTTATATTGCAAGATACTTTGCGGATATTAGAAATGTCCTTTAAAAATTAAATGTTCCTCCCCGTCGGGTTTATAATTCATTTGTTTTAATCATGTGGACCATATTACCTCCAAGTTAAAATGTGAAAACCATATCCAAGATCCCGCTTTGGTCCGTGATAGTGGACGTATATCAGCGACGACGCACTTGGGCTCTCACTTTCACTTAAAATAGGCCGGATGAAGGGTGAACACATTTGCAATATCATACACTTCAGCACAGATGTTGTTGGCTTCTCTTCAATGAACCGTGCCAATTTCAAGTGGAACACCTGGTAGATTTTAGTCTTAAACGGCCATGGGATGGGGTAAAACCGAGTAAACTTCCTCTTCTCTCTTCTTGCGTTCATCATAACTGGTGGGTTCATCACCAAAGAAATGAGTCTGAGGAAAGGAATCCTTTTTTCATCTGATATTGACAAAGTTAGTCTCGTTGGAGAATTTAAATATCCATGTTGGTGAATCTGAAATCTGCTCCTCCTGATCAGTGATGGTGCCATGTAGCTTGTGCAAGAAGTATTCCTTACTGAAGGTAATTTTCAAGCATAACTCTGACAGCGACTCAGCATTAACGGAGCCACCCCGCCGGGGCCACCGATAGCTCATATCTGACCCATTATTCCAAGAAACAGTGTATCACAAATTGGCAAATCCCTCTGTACCTAACCTCTCAAGGAAAACTTGTCCTAATCCATTCAACCTACGGTTCCTAGAAGTTCCAATGTTTCGAAAGCTTACGCATCTAAATCCGCCTATCCCATTCATCCAGTTGCATGCGAGAGTCCCATAATGCCTTTGAATTCCAACTTTCTTATTTCAGTTTAGGAGTTGAGTTTCTTGCATTGCACCACACATCAAGTGTGAAAATTTACTTTACGGAAGGTGAGGCAGCGATATGGAGAGAACGAAAAATACCTAATCCCACTAACTCATTGAAACCAGAGTGAAGTATGCCTTCGGTTTCCCGAGTTGTGATGGACATAGACATAGACTAGTACTGGAAATTGGACTTCTTCGTCTGTATCTCTATTAGCTACAGAACCGTTCGATATTGAAAAGTGGAACATTCCGCAGGGATTCCTTAACGTCCGAGGGCTTATCCCTCTCACGTGACAATCCTTTCTCAGACACACTGCTTTCTAAATGTTTCATTTTACAATAGAAGGTACAAGTGTCCAACGGCATCTAATGACATTAAGTTGAATTAGACAGATCTCGACTTGTAAAGTAATAATAGAAATTCCTTAAGCTTTACCGAATCGAAGTGAGACGTCTAGGTGTCATAGGTATAGGGCAGGAGAGAAGAATGAGTAAGCAACAGGCTTGCCATCTAATGGACACTCTACCGAAAACAAATTTCTGAAAACTGAAGCGAGATGGCGGGTAGGGCGCGTCGGCATGCAATCATCCCTGATGAGTTTGGATGATAAGAGTTCTATGGGTTCATTATTTTTAGCATGAGAAATACAAGGGTTGGTACGAAATTAATGCCAGTTATTTTTCATGCATGGTAGGTCTGAGAAAGAATTCACGAACAAAAAAAATACTCTTATTTCCCATCCTTGCCGCGCCCTATTTCGCAGAGAGCCATCAGTTGCCGGCACCACTGCAGGCGTCCAGGATGGCTGCTTCTCTTCATGTACGTACATAGCATACCCAAGTAACCATTAGAAATTGAAGACATTTACAGTGGACGGTCCATCTGTCCGGAGATGGATGAGAGTCCAGAAGTAGACGTCCTTTGGATGTTCATAGGATATCATCGCCATGGATGGATATCATCGCAATCTTGTCGCTGATTCTGCTCTTTATCTGGCAGAATCTCCCTGTAACTTACCCTCAGTTATTTCAATGTCATCGAATGACGTTTTTATGAAATTGCGATACGAGCTCTGAATAATTTGATTTCTGGGGTTCTTTTTCCTTCAAATCTCTCATCTTAGGTCGAAACAAAGACACCATTGTCATTATATCAATAGTGTGACATGACTACTCTTTGTACGGTTAAAACACCACCAAGTGATAATTTTCTATCCGCAATTCTGACCAGCAGGATATATAAATTCACTGAAGTTCCAATATTGAAGTTATTGGGATGATAATTTTCATCATGAAAGGTACTATATTCTCCTGTCGAAAAGGGAAAAAAACTTTTACCAGTCCCAACTTTTTCTGATAACATCGTTTGGTTTGTACGTTGCATTTGCTGGGAGAATGTGTGAAGCAGAGTTTCGTCGATCGATATTTCTGGAACCGTGTAACGACATGCACCAGATAACGAAGACACCGGCATCATATAGAGACAAGGAAAGAACGTAAAAAAAGAAGATTTTGTGTATTTTTTACATGGATCACAGTGCAAGCTCTCGAGTCTTACTTTGCGGTCTTGTCTGCGAGACAAACAGAGAAATGTCGCTCTGCCTAGCTAGCGGTCAGGATCGCGCACGCTATATGTTTAACCTCTGGACCTCCGGTTTGAACAATTATTAACATTCATAGAGGAGCTTCAAATCTCTCTCTCTCTGTCTCTCTTTCTATTCTCCACTGTTTTTCTCTCGTTGTGGAACCTATCTTCATGTCGTCCGAAAATGTATACTTATCTCATAACATAACCTTAATTGCGAGGCTTTCATCTCTAGATTATTAATGCAGACTTGAATTAGGAGCGGACCCAGGACCGAACCCCGCCTGCGACTCATTTATGATTACCCTCTGCGCTCTTCTACAAAGCCCAGTACCTATCCATTTACTTGTTCTAACCTGGATCCGGTACAATAAAGCCACTAGCCTCTTACATGGGACGGTGTCGAGATTTCGCGAAGACTAAATAGACAAGATCCTCTTCGTCACTCTTTTCCGTCACCCGATTGTAAAACTCGAGCAAGTCGGTGAGACGATCACGCCGCTTTAAAAACAAAAAGAAAACAAGCGGGGAATCTCGGATGAGAGAGTTTCCTTCAAGAAGTTCGAGGATTGGATGCCCACCGAAATTATCCTCGGTATGTCGACGAGACTAATATACCGGGTATGGCAAGAAAACATGATTTTTAACTTTAATGTCTCCACTCACGATGGAGCCATTTCTGCGAAACTTTCACTCGGCATACATGAGTATGTTTCCAAGTAAATCTCACAAATCCATCCGAAATTAGTAGAGTTGAAGAAGTTCTATCAGCGTTTATATATAAAAATAGTTAGACATTAAGAATGGACAAATGGAGCTTTTGCTGATGGTTTTCGTTCCGAGAGAATAGCAGATGAATACATGAGTATCAATGTCCGGAGACTTTCAGGTATTCATTCAAGATTTCCCTTGGTTTATGTCAACACAGGTTTGCAAGGTATGACAAAAAGACCAACGGCTTCAAGTGTGTCTTATGATTACTTAAGTCGTATCTCAAAGAATGTGTTGTGGATGAAGCATGCCTCTGTTTATTTAAAAGTCAACAAGGCTGCCAAAATTCAGGGTAAAATTTGAATAGCTTAGAGGAAACTCTAGATTGGTGCTCATCGATTCATCTGCTATTCATTAGTAATAAGCTCTTAAATACCGTCTGCAAGAGAAGACCAGCCCAGAGAATGAATTTAAAAGGAAAAGGAGTTCGACGCGGTCTTGATGACCTCACGGGGAGAGCTCTCCATTGCATTCTCCATTCCACACCAGCAAGAGCTCTATTTGTCCATTCTCAATGTCATTTCTTTCCAATAAATCCTGATGGAATTTCTTCAGCTCAACAAATTCGGATGGAATTTTGAGAATCACTTGGAAGCATTCTCTTGTGTGCAGAGTGAAGGTTTCGCGGAAATGGCTCCATTGTGAGTGGAGACATTAAAGTTAGAAGCCACTAGTCCTTTTTGTGCTATACCTTGTGGTTTATCCCCCCCACATAAACATCGGATCGACGATCACCACTTCCAAAGGCACTTCCCCACGCTAAGTGCTGCTCCTAAAAATCATTCTTAACTGAAACCCTACTTCCCTCGAGAGTTCCTCGATGGCCTGAGTCGGAAAAGGAGCAGGTTGCCTTCCCTCTGCCTTGCGTTTCCCCGTCCTACAGACGATCTCGGTGATGAGAAGGTCCTCGGTGCACATCGGGTGGCCTTCATGGTTGCCAGATTTCTTAGAAAAGAATAAATATCGTTAAGCCATACCTCCGCCTTTTGAGATACTTCGTCGCCCTTGAGAAGTCCGATCGAATGTCCACACTTGGCGCTTGTGTATATGTAAAAGGCCTTGAGATTATTTTTAGCATCAATCCTTCGACTTTCCTCTTGCTACAGTTTCGCCGATCGA